CAGGAAACAAGGTCAAGAATCAACAAATGGGACCTCATTAAACTAAAAAGCTTCTGTAGATCAAAAGAATCAACCAAGGAAATGAAGAGAAAACCCACAGAATGGGAGAAAATCTTCACCAGCAACACATCGGACAGAGGTTTAACATCCAAAATATATTAGAACTCAAAAAACAGAGAATCAAGACAGGAAGTAACCCAATTAAAAGATAGTCTAGGGAGCTGAACAGAGAGTTCTCAAAAGAAGGAAGTAAAGATGGCTAAGAAGCATCTTAAAAGATGTTCAACGTCACTAATAATTAGGAAAATGAAAATTAAAACCACTTTAAGATTTCATCTTACCCCAGTCAGACTGGCTAAGATCAAGAGAACAAATGATACCAAATAAAATGTTTTTTAATATTTTATTTATTATTTTTATGTGTATGAGTGTATTGTCTGCATGTAGGTAAGTGCACCCGTGTCATGCAATGCCCACGGAGGACAGAAGAGACTGTTGGATCCTCTAGGGCTGGAGTTACGGACAGTTGTTAGTGGCCATGTGGGTGCTGGGATACAAACCCAGGCCTTCTGCAAGAACACCCAGTGTTCTTAACCACTGAGCCATCTCTCCAGTCCCCTACCTGACTTTTAAAAGTAAAGCAAAACACACTGGTTTTAATTGTCCACAGTCTGAGGCCAAAACTTTTGGCACGTATGTTAATTTGAATGATAACCAGCCCTTATAAGCTGATGTGTTTGAACACTTGGCCCACAGTTGATGGCACTGTTGGGAGACGTTACGGAGCCTTCAGGAGGCGTGTCCTTGCTAGAGGAAGTACAGCACCAGGGGCAGGTTTTGAGAGTTCATAGCCTCACCCCATTTCCAGTTCCATCTCTCTGCTTCCTGTTAACAGCTGAAGATGTGAACTCTTAGTTTCCTAAGCCTGCCTCATGCTGCCATGCCTCATCTGACACTATGGTCTCTCCCTCTAGAACAATAAGCCAAAATGAAGTCTTCCGCAGTTGGTTTTGGTAGTGATATTTTGTCACAGCAACAAAAATTAACTAATACATCATGCTTCTTCATTCACGGAAACAATAGCACCAATAATGTTTGAGTTCCTGCCTTGGGTCAGACATTGTGAGCCTGGAGAGGATGCAGCTATGGAGGTGGAGACAGATCCTGTCCTTATGCAGCTCACGTTCTGCTACAACAAAGAACAATATGCATTGTTGGATCAGGAAACAAGTCTTGATGAATTCCCTGTATAAGAATCCTGCTTTTATAACAAGGAAGTTTTTTTGCTGAATTAGCAATTTTACACAGATCTGAATTGTTTCATATATATATATATATATATATATATATATATATATGAGTGTGTGTGAGAGATTTATATATATATATATATATATATATATATATTAGTGTGTGCTTGACAGATTATTTTGAGCTTTAAAGGGATGGGATTGATGATAAGACACAAATCCTCCCAGATCAAGGAGCTGGTGGTCTGAGCCCTGCCCAACCAGGCAACGCAACACCCCAGGTTTGGAGTCAGGGTGTCTTATATTGGGAACTCAGTTTCACACCTCAGTACAACCATGTTAGGAGAGTTAATCAACTCACTTTATAGTTCTTTCACCTATAAATGATGTTAATAAAACCAACTCCAATGTATAACTATAATATTTAGTGACTTAATTCATAAAAGTTGCACTGTGTGTCACAGAGTGGAGGTTTAATCCATTCTGTATGGTGGATATATACATACATGTGCATAGGCACTCTGCCCACTCATCTCCTTACACACTCCCAGTATCATCCTCCCAGAGTGCTGCCCTTCCACCCTTGAAGCATTTGCCTTCCTCCAGATTCACAATTAGCTAATGTAAGAATCTAATCACTGAAAATGTGCTAATGAGAAGGAGGACAGTGATATAGCTGCCAACTCCAATACCACTTGGTGGTAAAATATGATCTTAGGAACAAAACCAAACTAAAAACGACACTGGCCAGAACAGTGATTCATGGTGTGAATGCTAAACAGCAGGGCCTGGGAGTTTACTGTAGCAGTGCTCAGTAACCCTTTCGGTAGCCATGACTGCCTGCTATGTGTGCTGATACCCAGGCCAGCAGTAATTAAAGAAAAAACTTAAGCCTTAAACCAATACTGTATCCTTTTCTATATATATTAAAGTATGTGTCAAGATAACCCATTTTCCCTAGCCTAGAATAGTCTATAAAACAAAGATCACTCAGAAAAATAAGACCACGGAAAAGTTAGCTATCCAATTCTGAAAATAAACTGTATTACATCTATAATGGAGCAAGAATCTAGAACACAATTATCTTCTTGGGGCTAATTTTTCTAAACCAAACCACATGGATTTTACGAGGTTTAACTGCAGTTACAAGAGGTCCTGCTCTGAAAATCCCTCCCAAAACTTGTGAATCAGGCAATGGTAAGACTGTCACATTGTCTGACTGACACACTAACAGAAAAGCGTCTCAAGCGCCGAGTCAGCCATTTAGTCGTGTTTCTAGACACCAACTACCACTGAACACATCTTCATGCAACCTAATTTAAACATCTAACGCGATGCTCTGATCCAATGAGCACCAGAGCAGCATAAAAGCTTAACAAGCCTGACACCTAGTGACCATAAAGAAACTGCAGCCGACCCTGTGAGACGCGGTGGCCGGTGGTCACTGTGATGGTATCTCCACAACGCATGGAATTTAAACATTGTGAACGTTAGATCTAGACAGTGCCAGTTCCAAAATCAACCTTGTAAGTGTTTCCTTTATTTGTAGAATAATCTTGGTGACTACCCAAAAGACCAAACGATGCACATTTGTTAAGTACTATTTCCTTCAACCTCCCACATTTAGCAAGTTTTTATTCCTCCTCAAAGATCAAAAACCAAAGCTAAAAGTCAATTCCAATTTTGGCAAACCTTGTGACTCTTTCCCTTCCTTTTCTATGTGCATTCACTCCCTTTCCCAGGTCTTTGGGAGATTTTTTTTCCCCTTCGGATACGCCCTGTCAAACATAAAAGCCGCGTGGTCAAGTCATCACAGAGGTTCACTTTGTGCTGCTGAGCCATCATCACTCAAAGGCTGGTTAGACCTCACAAAGCAGCAGGAGTTTTCTTTAAAAGAGGTATAAGGACATGCGCAGAAACTCCTAAAGTACCCGTCTAAAAGCAAGGACCACACGAACACTGTAGGAAGCCAGGTGAGCACAGACAGATCAGCACAAGCTATTTCTGCCCCAACCATTAGAAGACAAGTCTGCCCAGACCTGCGCGCACCTCTGACAAGCAGCACAGCGCGAAGCCTGACACGCTCCACTTCCCCACCATAGGAGAGCACCGACTCCTACCTGCTGACGCTTGAAGGCTAAATAATCTAGATTTTCCAGCTCCTTCCCGAGCTTCTGGTAGGTTTTCTGGAGGTCAGATTTGTTGGAAACGTTTTTAAGAGACTCAAATGTTCTTTGAAACTAAAATGAAAAGAAAAGCAGATCATTAGGGTAGCGGTCGTTTTTTTCTCAAATTCCCAGCTAGCCAATAGAGTCGATACCAAGCTTAAGTTTCTACCACCCATAATACAAAGACAGCAAACGCTAGCTAATTAGCTTCCAGAGGACTAATTGAGGACAATTACAAAGAGGTAGAAACTATGACATGTGTAACCAGTGCTACAGCGTGAATGAGAAAACTATTTGGTCCTCATCCCAACAAAAAGAGCAGATGCCATTCAAAATAAAATGACCTTCATGCTTTAAGATATCCTGCTGCATTAAAAGAAAAAATTATATCTGATTATGCCTAATTTTAATTCATAATTTAAGGCATAGTAAAGCAATATTCAAACAGTTCTTAGAGCTGTGGAGATGGTTGATTTGGTAAAGTGCGTCCCACACACGCATGAGAACCTGAGTTCAAATCCCCAGCACCCACGTAAAAGCCAGGTACAGCTGCTCACGTCTAATCCCAACTTTGGGGAGGCACAGACAGGAGATTGCCCAGGCTCACTGGTCAATCAAGCCAGCCAGTTGGTGAACTTCAGTGTCAGTGAGAGATCCCTTTTCAAAAAATTAAGGAAAGTGATTGAGGGAGGCACCTGATGTTGACCTCTGACCTCTACATGCACATGCAGAAAAGTGTATACCTACACCATACACCATACACCAAAAACACATACACACACACACACACACACACACACACACACACATACAAAGAACTCTGTTTGGGAAGATGAAGGGGATCAGTGGGAACAAGAGCGAATGTGATCAACATACATTATATACATGTATAAAAATAGCATGATGAAATTCATTATATAATTTATATATACCAATGAAAGCTCTTTAAACAAAATTCTCGAATTCCACTCATAGAAACCAACAAATATGTGCAAAGTTAGCTGCTGGCATATTTTCCTGTCATGGCGTGAGACCTGGCTTGTCTCTAGAGAAGAGGTGCAGAGAACCAGCCACTCAGCGCACATTAGAAAGGAAGCTCTTTCAGAACTTGTATTTCCACTAACACTAACATTTTGATATTCATGGCACTGTGGTGTGCTCAGCAAACATTTCTGCTCTATAACACAGATGAGGCCGGAAAGTTGGTTCTGCTGAATGGGAATGTCCCTGCCCATGCTCAGGTCACATGATGGATAAGTCAGGGATAAATTGCAGTAGATCACAAAGTCCTGCCTACTAATAATTAAGCAAAGAGGGCTCACAAGAAATTGAATTCCTGGGGTTTTTTTAGTAAATTAGAGCAGACTTTTGGAGGGTTCATCATTGAAAATGTCAAGTGACATAATTTGCAAGACATTTTCATTTGCTCTGTATGTCATTTATTTCCCACTTTCTTTTTTTCAATGTGTATGAGTGTATTGCCTGCATGTATGTAAGTGTACCCATGTCATGCAATGCCCGTGGAGTTCTGAAGAGGGTATTAGATCTCCTGAAACTGGAGTTACAGACAGCTGTTAGCTACCATGTAGGTGCTGGAAATCGAACCCAGGCCCTCTGCAAGATTAGACAGTGTTCTTAACCATTGAGCCATCTCTCCTACCCTGGTTTTTCCCATATTTTTACTCTGTACCATTAGATAAGATTTCTATAGCGATTTCACTGTCTTCACCATATCAGAACCCTCGAATCCCATGAGACAGGTCAGTAAGATTTTATACAACATAATTGTTTCCAGGAATGTGATTTGACCCTCGGTATATCAAACTCTAAGGAATACGTCATGTTAAACAGCAGTCCACTGAATTAAATTCTCAGTTTCATGGAAGCAACATGTTTATCTTAATCCAAGGTGAAAGAAGAAAATGACATGGAAAATAACCATGCTGAACTGAGCTTCCATAGAAGGACAGCAAACTAAATCCAACAAACGGTCACTTAGCATCTGCTACGTTCAGGGCGCTATAAACATAAATCACATATCCTACCCTGAAGGAACTTACAGATTATGGGGGAGAGTAAACATGAAACACAGACGTGGGTTTCTGACATTTATTGAGTGTGTTGAGCCAGGTACTTCATGTGTTCGAACTGAACTCATACAAACAACAAGATATCCCATTTCTATTCCCATTCTGCAAATGAGTAAACTTGGTTGAACAGAGGCATTCTTCAATATCTGAGGTCTGTCTACCCTTCACTAATTTTACCATACCCCAAAATAGAAAACGGAGTGTAAAAGAGAGATAAAAGTAGAATAGGGTGTAAAATTTTGAACTGAGAGTGACTTAAAAGGCTCACCTCACATGGAGGACATGAGAGGATTGGAGTTGGGTCACAAAGAGGTAGATTTCACAGTCCCGAATGTGATCCAGTGCTACCCATCAGTTTACTAGTCTCAATTTTGTTTATATTATTTGTTTATTTATTAACTTATTTAATGATTTATATTTGGGGAAAACGGGTGGGCTATCGCATGCATGTGGAGGTCAGGGGACAATTCACAGCAGTCAGCTCTCTCCTTCCACCATGTGGGTCCTAGGGATCAAATTCAGGTTGTCAGGCTTAGCAGCAAGCGCCTTTATCCACCAAGCCATCTCACTGACCCCCACCTATCAGTTTAAACAGCAAACAAGCTCTTTTAACACAGTTTTAATGACCTTTATATTAAGTATTTATCTTACAATATATAATCATTTTTGTGCCTTGAACATGGTCCCTTCTTACCGTGTTCAAACAAGATCCAAGGCTCAAAACAAATGATTTTATCTTTGAACTAATTACTATGAGCTATTTACCAACCAATTCATTAAATTTTAGAATATTCTTTATAGACTACATTTTCTCTTCCTAAAAAATATCAGCTCTAATTAAAGATTTCTTCTCATTTATGTATGTGAATATTACAGGACTCCAAATGGGAACAGGAGGAATATACTTGTAAGACTTCAAAGATAGGTTTAAGGAAGAGATTATAAATCAAGAAAAATGTGGACTATGTATTCCTCCCAAACCTTAAAGCTGACATGATGATAGACAGTGATATTCTTCCTCTAAACATCCCTTGCCTGTATGTCAAATACAGTAGTTTAGATAAAATATAAGACTTTCAGAAATCCTGTGTGTGTGTGTGTGTGTGTGTGTGTGTGCTTGCATGTGTGCGTGTGTGCGTGCAAGTGTGAAATCTTCAGCTTTCCAAGCAGGTATTACATGTACATATGAGCAACGCTAAATGGACTCAATAGGATGTATAGATATATATACATATGTGAATATATGTAACAATAATTAAAGAGCAGTTCATCAATTTGAGAGGGATTAGGGGAACATGGGAGAAGTTGGAGGGGGAGGAATGTATGCAAATGTTCATATGTAGCGGGGGATGCAAGTATGTGTGCTTGCATGTGGAGGTCAGAGGTCAATCTTGTTCCTCGGGTGTTGCCCGCCTTGTTTTTGAGACAGGGTTTTTCGCTAGGACTTAGGGCTCACCAGGTCCACGAGGCTTTAAATCTCCCTATGAAATTGCAAGCTTTTTTCTGGATAATCCTGCATATGTAAGTGGCTTTTTGAAATTTAGAGAAGTAGAGGCTGGTGAGATAGCTCAGCCAGTGGAGCAAAGCTTGTCAGTCAAGTCTGATGACCTGAGTTCAATCCCTGGGGCCCATATATTATACACTCTGCAGCCCCAACTACACACACACACACACACACACACACACGCACACACACGCGTGCATACATATTATACACTCTGCAGCCCCAACTACACACACACACACACACACACACACACACGCACACACACACGTGCATACATGCACACACACACACATTTAAGATGAGAAATGTTGAAAGGAATACTTTTACTTTGTAGATGAAGCTGAGGCACAAAAGATAAAAAATGAGCTTGGTCAAGTTGAGTCCTAGATTTTTTTTTTAATCTTTTTTATACAGGGTCTCCCTGTAGCCCCAGCTGTCCTGGAACTCACTATGTAGACCAGGCTGGCCTCAAACTCACAGATCTGCCTGCCTCTGCCTCCAGAGTGCTGGGAACTAAAGGAGTACGCCACCACACCTGGCAAGTCCTAGATTTTAAAAGGACAATATTGACTTGGTTTAAGAATTCTTCTGTTTCTCAGGGCTTGGCCACTGAAAGTGCCTCTGAGATTTTCTACATTAGTAATGCACTGTAGTTTCATTGTATTGGTTATTTCTCAAAATAAATTATATCCTCCCAGTTGGAGCTAATTTGGAAAATGAAGCACAATTAATTGAAGCGATTTCAATATTCCTGGAACCTACCTGTTCACAGTTGTAAGAGGGAATTTAAATTTGAGCCAAAAACTCCCAAAATAATTTGTTGCTCTTTGAAATTACTCTGAGTTGTTTCATTAGCTTATCATAAACTAAATTCAAACTTAAAAAATAAATCCCTTGGAATCAAAAACAAACCTAGGCATTTTCTAAAACTGTGATGATTGAATATTAAAGTGATCTCTGAGCTGAGAAACAAATCCAATTTTGTCCTATTTACCTTATCATATATCACAGGGTAAATAAGAAAAGAAGGAAAATATGTAAACACATCCCTATGCCCGTGCCCACAGTAGGAGCAGGCATTGTAAACACTCCAGAGCATTTTCATCACGTTGTCTCTGTTCAGAAATAATAATAATAGCAATCCATCAAATGGAAGAGCTGAGGCCATGATTGCTCATCTCGCATTAAAATAACTGAAAATCTGTTTTACAAGGAAAAGCAGAATAAAAAAGGCACCAGGGAAATGTGTCGTTTGACTCAGCACTCCCTCTCCCCCAAAATACAGCTTTTCTCCTTTTCCCTGACAATACATATTTAAATAAATCCAAGCCAATGTTCTGTACAAACTCCACAGCCAATCAGTTCGTAAAAATTATGTAGATTCATAGAGTAATTTGAGAAGGCGTACAAGAGGAAATCCGCTGAAACAGCAAGAAAAAGTATACAGCCAGAGCTCCGGCAAGTCGTGCTTTGCG